CAGATGTAAATACTCTGTTTGAAATATTTTGATTTGAGGTCATATTAGCCAAAAGAATTAACAGAATAACATTTTCTTACATCTTACTGTTTTGGGTTTCAGAAACAGCATTAAATGAAATCAGATAATGAGTAAAATGCCTGATATGACTCTTTGTTGTCATGTTTTGTCCCCAAATAAATGAAAATTAGTCAATTTTAGCATAGTTAAGATTAAAATGGACCTTTTTTTTTTCTGACTGGTAAGGGGATCGCAACCCACGGCTCGGTGTCGTCTGTACCACGCTCAACCAGTGAGTGCACCAGCCATCCCTATATAGGATCCGAACACACGGCCTTGGCGCTGCCAGTGCCACACTCTCCCGAGTGAGCCACGGGGCCAGCCCTTCTTTTTTCTTTTTGATGACTGGCCAGTACGAGGATCCCAACCTGTGACCTTAGTATTATCAGTCCTGGACCTTTATTTTAACAAATAAAATATCTAGTTACCTAGAGGATAAATGAATTATATATGTAATATTTCCTTTGAGGTATGTCATTGAGTAAAGTGAATTTAGTTTATTGTGAGAAGTTTATCTCAGAAAAGTGTATGTGCTCATTATTTACTTGGTACCCACCTAGTGCTTTTTTCCCTGCTTGGATAATAGGATTTATGACTCAGAGGGATTGTTATCTATAGACTGATTCTGTTACGTGTAGGACAGTGGTGAGATGGTATTCATTTGTATATTAAAGTAATATTTCAGGACAGATTTAAAAATGAAAAAATACCAAGTAACAAAACAGTTTGTATACTATGATCTCATTTTTGTAAAATGAAAATACATACATAATACAGCAAAATCTTAACATTAACTTAGGGAGGGGTGAGACTACATGTACTTTTTATTTTATTTATGCTTATTTTTATTTTATAATTCTTTAATCCTAGCACAAGCCAAAAAATGAGAGAAAAAAGGTAATTATTGCAGAGCCTGAAAACAGAAATGTACATAAACCTTCAAAGCAAAAAAAGAAGGAAGATCCTGAAGATTCTTTATGAAAAATGAAACTCCAAAATTGGTAATCCTGTCAGCTCTGCCGTCTCAGGAGGAGCATTAGTAGAACGGCCGCAATGAGTATGCAGAGGGTGCAGACTGTAGGCACCACAATCTCCGTAACCATTTGCATGTGACTCAACAGTGGCTCTGAAATGGTAAAGAGAATAACCACCACAAATGAGAATGTGATCATTTTAGCAAATATAACTTCATCTTAAAAGCTTTGACTGTATTGGAAAAACTTGAAAAATGGCATCATCAAATTTTCTAATTATTATTATTTGCTGTAAAAGAGAACTTGGTGAATTAGATGTTACTGAAAAATTATGTGAATTTTGAAAATTTTTCAGAAAATATGGGATAAAGAATGCCTAGATTTGGTTCTTTCTCCAGTACTGTAATAAAATCTAAATATATATCAATACTTATGCTTACCCTGAATTAGTCTCAGAATATTAGCAGTCATATTCTATGGTTCTTAAAATTTATCGAGGTGATTTGAGAACGAAAAATCCTTGGGAAACATTTCTAGCCTTTCAAAGATGTTATTGTGAATATAAGAGGTATAGGAATTTCTATATTAAAATTTTTATGGTAATTCTTGGATACTTAAATACTAATCTTTAAGAGTTAAATGATAAGCATATTTCATGTGCATTTATATAATAGTGGACATTTATATAATACCCATTTTTACAATGTGTGTCAAGTACCCTGGTTACTAGATAAATAAGGTACAGGCCATGCTCTCATAGAGTTCATAGGCTCAACATTAGATTTTTCATCACTTTCTGTACATTAAATTTATTTCACTTTAAAGGAACATACATCCTTAATATTGCCTGGTTATTTAGATTTGGGAATTTTGATCCATGGTGGTATATTGGCCTGTAAAAATAGTGGGATTGGTAGGATTTGGTCTAGCATTTTCTACCACTGATACCACATTAAACATGAGTTTGTTAAAACAGGAAATGTATTTCTGATTGCCTTTATGAAGAAATAAAGATAAAATTCAAAGAGACAAATGATATGTATTGGCATTTCTTGGTGCATAGTTGCATCTTAATTATTCTGCGTCTCTGGTTCTTGTAGATCCCATTGCATAAGAAATGATGCCTTCTACTAGGGGAGGGACCATGTTTTATTCATTACTATATCCCCAGGACTTAAAACACCCCTAGCTCATAGTGAGTACTTAATAATTACTGAATGAGTGAATGTAAGATCTGGAGTGTTTTTTGGCCTTTTTTCATTCCATTCGGTGTAATAATTGACTTTCCCTCTCCTTCCACAAGCCCACTATAACAAAAATAGTAGGTATGTAAATTGACGGTATGATTCAGAAAGAATAAAACTAGAGTGGATAAAATACTTCTCTTTTGTGGTAGTTTTGAATATTTAAAATGAAAATAGAAATTTGACGAAATGGAAATTTGACATTCCTTCAGAGACAATCCATTTTTAATCACAAGTTGTTTTTGAAGATCCAGATTTTGAGATTTGGGTAAT